AACTAAATTAATATTAAAGAGTCATTTAAAGCATTCAATAGGTTGAGATTTCATATATCATTTTAATACAATATTTTAATTAGACTTCGAGTTCGATGCACAAGTCCATTGCAGTCATTGCTGCTTCTGTAAAATATCACATCTTTTAGGTGTTAGTGGTTCACTTATATTACATATGATTTATATTTCAGGAATGATTCAAAGTAATTTAGTTAGTTTTGTTTTAAAATTTACATTTACATCTAAAATGCTAAACAGTAGTGACGCCGAAAAAATTGTATTCATTGGAGAAAAATATCGCTTTAATTAAAGTTTAACAACTTAATATGATTTTAAATGAAACCCGGTTAATTAAATCTAAAAACAAAACTGATTTCACCAACATCGTTTACAAAAACGAATAACATAATTTTTGGTGCTTTTATGAAGCATTTCAAATCAGTTCTGAAGCACTTTTTAAGACTAAAAAGGTATAAAAGAGTTGTGTAACGTCTTCAATAGGTTGAGATTTTATACTTCATTTTAATATAATATTTTGATTGTGTTTCAGATTACAGGGCAATTCAAGTTTTACTCGTAGGAGTACAACATTATAATTTGTTAGGTATATATTTTTGGTGTTAATAATACGCTTATACTAGGATGTCAATTTCTAAAAATAACATTTGGAGTCAACAAAAAGAAACACGAAATGATTAAAAATAATTTAGCTAGATTTTAGCGTATTGCCACGAGTTTTTGCAATATAGTGTTTGCTCGGAGATACTATTCCCTGTATCAAGACACTATCCCAATATTGTGGGGTCGAACTGTTAACTCGATTTAAGCACAAAGATATTCGCTATTTGCCTAAAAGAAGTAAACTACATCAGTAAAAGATTTTTTTATTTATGCTAATAGGAATCCAGAACTCTGTTAGCAAAACCTAACAAATTTTGTTAGGTTAGATATATGGGAATGTATGAACATGTCACTATTGTAAGTCAAAAAGTTTCCATTTACTTCAATTGAATAAAAGGTAATCCAAAGTTTTTTCTAGTAGTGGAAGAACTTTATACATTAATTCTCACAAATAAAGAAGTGTAGATGATTCCTACTTAACAATAATAATGTATAAAATTTTGGGTAAAACTACATCTATTCTTAAAATAAAAGATTGGGTCAATTGAACAACTAAAAACTAAATATGACAACTCCAAGTCCATTTTAGTTGAATGATAAAAAACATATTCTGAGTGTATATTATATGTACATTTTAATCATAATAAATTGTTCTTAATTTTAAACTATCTTAAAAACAGTGGAAGATATTTATTCTAGACTAAAAACTAGACACATTTTGATATCGATGTTGAGAAATTGCATAGTAACGTCTAACTGCACAGAACGAACCATTGTTGATATTGACTTTGCTTTCACACTCTATATCATGGTAATCTTAAAAACAGGCTCCCTTATTTTTGAAATCAAGAATTCGCCACCAAAATTTACCATGAAGCACCCTGTATTGTATAAACTTTTTTATATTTGAAAATGATTTTTAAAATTTGTTGAAAAACATCATAAAATAATAAATAAAATAAAATTTATTTATATTTTGCATAGTGTAAAAATGCACGCAATATTTAATCACTGTTACCGATTATCGAGTTATTACCTGATAGCCTAAAATAGGCCAACCGCTATAGTTAGAGTTCTCATTCAGAATTTCGCGCGAAAGGCAGCCACAGCCAATGGTGCTGCGATTTCGCGATATTTTACTGTTTATCTAATCCAGAATGCCCTGCAGCACGCCGAAAATCTCAGATACTAATTTGAGCATTAGCCAATAAATAACTTTAGTAAATAAACAATTTAAGTTGAACAAAATTTTAAAACAGATGTTCACGCCGCTTCAGATATTAAATATACATATTCATTTTTTTTTCAAGTGGCAGTTGCATTGAACAGTGACACTGCAGTAAGTCTACGACTTACCAAAAAGCTAAATTCAATTAATTCAAAAAATTAATTGGAAACAACAGAAAAAACAAACAGAGGTTAGATTCAGAATCTGCAGAATGCCCGTATAGATTGAAAAAGATCACAGGAATATTACTAAGCAGTATAAAAATAGAGATCTCTGGATTTAATCATTTTAGAACTATTAAGGAGATAATAAATAGTAAAGATTGAGTATTTAAATTTTTTAAAACTATTTTGTATAAGTAAAAATGAGATTATAAATAAGACAGAAATAAATAATATATATAAATTATATACATTGCGTAGATTATAATTACAAATATTTAATTAATAAATTTACAGGACACTTTTACGCATGTAATTCTCCTAAGTAAGAATAAAGTATATAAAGTATAATTTTGTATTTATAAATTCACATAATACATCCAGCAGTTCGGTAAATATTTCATATCTATAAAGTTACTTCAATGTATAAAATACAAAAAATCAAGAACAGAGCAATGTCCCATAACTATCCGGGGATGAATCGTTAACAAAGCCAAAAAACTTCGTTGACAATTATGCATAATGGACCTATAACTTAGTACAAATGTTTATTTTACAGATGATACTGCCCCCTCAATATGCTCATATATGTTATATATTAAATAATCCTAAATACATAATAGAATTATATTCACGTATACAGATAGGTATATCTTACTTTTCGACTTTCCATAATTCAGCCCTTCATGATTTTTTCTTTTTTGTTGCTACACAAAATCTAAATATCTTAGACATTATACCATTCAACTATGCTACATTATTTTTACCATATCAAATATGGATATCTGAGACATTCTATGATACGAGTTTTTAAATGTAATGTTTATATCTTTATATCTTGAGATTTTTTTATGGAACTTCTTAAACTTAATCATAAATACTATATTTGGTTATCTAGTATTTAGGTCGTGTGCGAGTTAGGCTAAGTTGCGTTCTAAATAAGGGAAATTCTAAGTTGTGCCGATAATATAGTGATGTGTCGATACGTGTTGATAAATGGCTAAATGTGTGCAGTGCAATAAATCCCAAGAAAAGTCCCATTTGGTTTAGCATCCACTTATCCTAACTCGCACACGTCCTTAGTTATCTAAGGAATCCTATTATCCAATTATTCAAATACAATTCAAAAACTATTCAAAGTCGAATATGAACATCCGAAACATTTTATCATATAGCTTTTCAGATATAAAAACTTTTCTTTACGAAATATGTTATTCAATATTAAAAAATATAATTTTAAATTTCTACGTCATATTTCAGACATTCTATCGCCGAGAAATATGGATTTTCATAAAATTATAGAGATCATTTAAGTCACATATAATAAAATTTGGTTAGTTAGGGAGGCACATTCAATGAAGGAACATTTAAAGTTCTATTTGTAGAAAGTATTTAACTATCAAATTATTGTTTTTTTTTACTCACAAATCTAATATCTAACATTTACTAATAAGACTCGTGCAGTTATATAGTACCATACCAAAAAGAACTATTTTTTCGAAGATTTCTTTCTCCAACATGCTTTAGTCAGGGACATATCCATCTAATCTGTTCAATAAATTTAAGATGACTGATCAATGATCAATTTCAATTTAATGGAAATATTAATCAAATATACCATATGTGCTTTTGTTTATTGCTTATTTTTTAGCAGTTATAAATAATTATGATTAAAATAGAGCATTTTTTTGAGATACTTTCTATTTACAACTCTCAGTGGTTTGTCTGGAATTGTTTGCACTATTTTTTTTTTGAAATATTTAAAACTAATCTTGAAAGACTGTGTAAAAAGACTATCTAAGTAGTTACCAAAACGAACATTGCTAAAGAATATCGCTCAGAGTATATATAATGTTTGGTTAAAAATTACTAAAATAAAAAATAAAACTAAAATCTTTTTCTAATTATTCACGAAATAAATGGTTTGTTACTGACAGTTTAGTAGTATTTTTTTTTTAAATTATAAGATAAAACTGAGAATTATTGTGGAGAATTGACTCACTACAGAGCTTAGTAACGTAATTTTAAAGGAATTTTAAGAACTCTCACCTTCTTTATGTGAACTGTATATTGTTATTGTAAAATCTGTGTATAAAGTATATACAATATTTATATTTTAAAAAATATTTATATATATTTACATATATAACATAAATATATATTTGAGCAAGCGAAACGTGAGAAAGCTAGTATTGCCTACACCTACTGTTGCTTTACAGGCTTTGGATATATTTTTGCCTAATTATAATGGAAGCAATCATAATTCCAATTATTTGTTTTCGTTTTGAAATTATTGTCTACGATATTATTGAATCAAAAGTAATTAATTTTTACTTAATAGTTTTTAGTATAAATTTGCAAGTAAAAATTATACATTTTGAAGGCATGTCACGTCTTGAAATTGTTTTCAAGTCAATGTCACGGCGGCCGGCAATAAAATTGCTTGCGTCTGAAACTGGAAATAATCGATGGCAATCGCAATTGATGATTTCGTCTGGATTTTCTATGTTAAATCCTTTAATTAGAAAAAGCATAAATTTCACTTCGATAAGATATTCTACAGAACTTTTACTTAAAGTATATATCAAAATGATAAGAGAAATCCATCTTATCGGATAGGACTAAACCAAGTACTGAAGTGAAAGAATTCAAAAAAGATCAGCAAAGAACGTAAATAAAATAAAAATAGAAAAATGAAAACATAAACAATGTAGACGAGCGCGTATCGATTTGGTGACATAAATTATAGCAAAAATAAACAAAGCAAAAATTTCCCAAAATAGAGCCAAGAATAGTCGAAGTCTAAGTGGTGCAATAAAAGCCATTCGATTTAATTTACAATTGATATCTTCGGTATGTCTTTAACCTAATCAGAGTGCTTTATAACTGCACTTCAGCTCACGGCTAAACGACCTCTTGTAGATAACCAATTAGATTATAGAATATTACTTCGCAAGATTTTTGTATAAAAGCCTTAATTGCCATACATCGAAATCATACTAAACAAGTATTTCCAATCAACATGAAGCTTTTTGTCATTCTTGCTTTGGCTGTGGCCACCGTTAGCGCTGCTAGCCTTGAATCAATTGTCCAGCCCGGTTTTCCAAGCGGACGCATCATCAACGGTTACGAAGCAGAAAAGGGTGAAGCTCCTTATATTGTGTCATTTAAAACCACTTCACACTTCTGTGCTGGCTCTATCATTGATGAACATTGGGTCTTAACAGCTGCTCACTGCTTGGCTTATAGTTCTTTCAGCCTTGTAGCCGGTTTACATTCCCGCAATAATGAAGCTGACGTACAAGTTCGCAAGGTTACCAGCAAGAACTTCATCATACATGAGAAATATGGTGGTGGCGTCGGTCCTAATGACATTGGTCTTATTTACGTTGAAGAAGCATTCAACTTAAATGCTTTAACTCGTGACGGTTCTGCAGCAGTTGGTAAAATCTCTGTTCCATCTGGCCAATACGAACAATCTGGTAGAGGAAAACTTTTCGGTTGGGGTCGTGACAATTCTGGTGCTTTACCAAATGTTTTGCAAACTCTCGATGCCGATATCATTGGTTACAACGAATGCAAAGCTGCCTTACCTAGCAGTGCTCCAATCGATCCAGTTAACATATGTTCATACACTGCTGGTACAGCTGATGGTGCTTGCAATGGTGACTCTGGCGGTCCATTGGTACTTTACACAAAATCTGGCCCTGAATTAGCCGGTATTGTCTCATGGGGCTACACTCCTTGCGCTACTACTAAAAACCCATCAGTCTACACTGGTGTAACAAATTTCAAATTGTGGATCAACGAAAATATTAAGAACTATAAAGCATAAAACCAGGAAATCGACATGGCAACAAACACAGGAATGACAAAAAATTTTACAAAAATATTAATTAAAAAAATTTAAAGTTTATTAAAATAAAATAAAAAAAAAAATTAAACAAATTTTAAACAAATCTTATTTATATCTAGTAATGAACAAAGGACTAATTATATATACTTGACCTATAATAAGAGAACCATTAAAACAAATATACTTACATCGTCCCATTTAATGAATTTTTCGCCATCTTGTAGAGCCTTAGTGACTTCAACAGTTCCAGTTGAAACATATGTACCACAAGTAGACATTTTAACTTCTACAACAGCTCGAGCCTAAGTAGTTTCAGAAAATTCTATTAGGATATCCAATCGGTGGTTCAGCTTCAAAAAATTCACATTTAGAAATTTGCACCTCTAAGGTATGATGCAGTCAATAGCACTCAGAATTTAACATTATACGAGTATATCGTTAAAAAAATGTTTGTAGAACTAAAAACTATTATTTACAGTCTAGACTAGTCACAACGAGCCGACTAGTCACTTAGTAGTATATAGCACTCAAGGTATTTTTTTCTAGATTATGCGAATATGTGCAGGAATCACAGTAGCTGCACGAGGTACCAGTCTCTTTGGAATTTGCCGCAAAAGTTTCAATATTGCACCTGAAAGGATAAAAAATAGAGACAAAAATTTTAATAGTTGTAAAAATGGTAAACAGATTTTAAATCACTTAATGTAATGTTAATCCAATTTTTTGGCTCATTTTTATGCCCTTCACACACACCAAATATATACAGGATATATAAAGTACGACAAAATACTTCATAGGCGGATAACTAACAATCCAGCCGTAACTTTTTCTTACAGAGTAGCAAAAAAATACTCACAACTTATGAAAGAAAACATGTGAAGCAACAACAATGCTCTTAAAATCTTCAGAGTTAAGTTTTACTCGCAAAAACTTTCATGTCTTTAGTTTAAGTGTGGCCAAATTCAAAAATCAGTCTATTGTGAGTGTTTACTGGAAATATGTTGTAAATTCCAGTCATCCGTTTAAATCATATAAGCATTTCATTTACTAATAAGTTCATATACTTAAATTAATTTAAATACACAAGATAAAAATGCTTACCATTACTCCTATATTCATTTTTTCCTTTATTTAAATTAATTAATTTTTAGTTCTTACAATTTTTATATTTTATATTGTGCACAATATAACAAAAAACATATGCTTAAAACAAGCTTTTGAAATATTTTAAAAGTGATGCCAATTTGCTTCAACCAGACTTAATGCTGTTTTTTTACAACTCTGAAAGAAAAAATTGCGGGTCATGAATGAAATTTCCATGCAAAATGAAACAATACTGTCGGATTTCACATTTATATGTGTAAAATAATTATTCTGCAGAAGTTGTGAAAAAGTTTTTGGTATACATAAACCATGATTGAAACCATGAAATTGCTATTCTATCTTTTTTTGTGTTTTATTTATTTATTAAAACTATTTAATTATGCCTAACTATTTTTCCATCTGTCAAGCAAATTACAATAATGCGTAGTGTGAAGAGTTATTTTTGCTTTTTAATATCAGATCTCACTTTATAATTTTTGACAACTGGTTTTAAAAAACAAAACTCTCGTGTGAATACAGTATAAGGATTAAAATATAATATGTTAAATGTGATTAATTTTTGGAATATATTGACTGCTGATGTTAATTATTCATTTCATAGATTACAATAAGCAATTTTTATATTAAAGTTGACGTTGCTTTAAATTAAAAAAGAAAAGAAATCTGTTATGTATAAAATGCATATGTATACATATTTTTTTTTTATTATTAAGTTTATTTTTAAGTTATTAAGTTAAATTTATGTAAAGATTTTTTATAAATTTATATAAACTATGGTTTATTTACATTCCAAAAATGTGAATAAAATTAAACAATTAAAAAATATATTTTAATGTCGCTAAAATCCACAGTTCCAGTTCCTTTTAATATGCCATAGAAGTGGTTATATGTTCGGGTTGTTGTATAGGTTTTGTAGCCGAGGATAATATTGTGTTGGCGGTGAAATGACACTATTATTGACCAAGTAAGAAAAATATCACAACTTGACAGGTGAGTGATCATTATTTATTAACTTTATTACAAATGTTGATTAATTTCTTAAAGTGGAACTGCACGTACCATGTCAGGGGTACATGGGTAAAAGCTTTGTATTACTTACCAATGAGAAAAAAATGGCTGCAATCACATAGACATCTAAGGTGAAATAATGTCATGTAAACAGTTAGTTAAGAATAAGGACAACATTAAGAAAACTATAGCCAAGGTTATATAAAGTACGGCATAATACTTGCAACGGAGTAAGGGAGTAGATTTCGAAGTAGATTTCAACTGTTTGGGGTTGTGACTTTGTACATGGGTGGAAATTGGCTTCACAGTTATTAGTTAGTTTACTTTGATCCACTTAACTGCAGATATGGATGGATATATGCTGCTATTGGGCGATACTCTCAAGCCGCAATGACTTTTATACGAGAAGAAATGATTAAAACCGTTTATCGAATAAATTTTGAAACAAGTTTAAGAATTAGCTTTCAACACATTTATAAAGCTTTCAAAATTCGCTGTAATTGCAGAGGAAAATATAGATTTAATGTTTTTAAAACACAAAAATGTTATATTAAAACTTTTCAAAGCAAAAATGGAGGAGCAAAAATGCTCGTTCCTCAAATCAACACGAAACACTCATCTCTGTCCCTCAATGTTTGAAGAAAAAAATTATTAATAATTAATTATTATTATTAATAATATTATTTTTTTTATGGCTTTAGTTTTTTAACTGTTTTAATTTTTTAATTATTTTTATTTTTTTATTATTTTTTTATTATTTTTATTTTTCTTTTAATTTTTTTGAAATTGTTTTTATTTTTTAGTTATTTATTTAATCTTTTTTTTATTTGATTTAATTTTGGTTATTTATTTATTTTTGTATTGCATCTATATTTTGTACTGTTTATTTTTTTTTATTTATAGTTTAATAATGATTTATTGTTTAATAAAAAAGTTTATTTATACAAAAAAATGATGTTAAACATTATTAAGACTATTAAATTATTATTAATGTATATAAATTTTTAGGTTTTTTAGAGTACCTACTTGCTTCCCATTTTTAACAACTTTCGATATATTTGATTGAGAACTTGATCAGAATCAAGTTAGAACATGCAGAAAATCCATCTAAGGAAATTTGTATACTATTACTTCGCGTCGTGATCGGACATATTCTTGACAATATTCGCTCTTCACTCAAAGTCAATCGGGATGGAATGCTAATTACTGTACAAATTAGCATTGATTAAGTAAAAGCAGCGTAGCGGTTATGTCAAAACTTCAAAGCCTTTAAGAGCTATCGAGCTAATCCCGTCTAATACATACATCACAGCTACCGGACAAATACGAGACCTTTGCGATAAGTGGTGTTGCTGGGTTTGACTAGACAAAAGTTGTATATTTTAATATTAAAAAACAAATAGTTAAACAGCATATGAAGTATTTCCGTAGCAAATAAGCCGAATTTCAGTTTTTTTCACGAGAAGACATACTCGGTACATACATTTATTAGAGAAATATCATCTAAGTCCCACTTGCAATGATAAATCGATTTTAGATTTCTAAATCGTTTTTCCTTTCAGTTATTCAGTTATTTTTAGAGACTTTTGTTTAAATTTAAAAAATCAACTTCTTTTGGTTGATATTTAGAACAATTCTACCGCCTTCCTCTGCCCAACCCTCCCAATGAATATGTGTAGGAAAAATGAATTGATTGCCAAAATTTTGACCGCGTTATTATCACACATCTGAAATTGTGAATATTTTCCACGTTTCACTGATTTATTGATTTTACCGAAAAAGTTGTGGGGGGTAGCGGTTGCTATAGATTAAATAATTTTTGGCCAAGCGAAATATGTCGTGCACACACCTGTCCATACAGATACATTCCAAAGAGTTCATCACAAGGAAACATGCTGATGTGTGAGGAATGTGAGTATATCGTGTTAAGTAAATGTATTGCACTTCGTAGGAATTCTTGTTCCACACGCCTTCACATCGCGTGCTTGATTTAGGATAAATGGTGGGAAGTGAAGACTAACATTCCTGCTGCACATTGCACAAACTCGTATAAGGAATACTTATAAGTGGAGCGACAACAGTGCATTCCATGTGGGATTCGCTTTTGTTGCTTATCATTGAAAAGTTTTCTTTCAATTGAGGAATTTCTTTAATATTTTAAACAGAACAGAACATGCAGAAGCTGAGAAGCGATAGAAATTCCTTGGTAATTGTATAATGTCATTTCATTTCATTGAAGTCCTTATTTTTTTATTTTTATACTTTCTATGTTTCATAGTTGACACCACAGGACACGTTGACATTTTCTTTATTCTACATGTTCACTTCTTAAGTGTTGTTTATTTTTCGCATATTTCAAGTATTTTCACATATTCACTAATACTTCCACATATGCACGCAAGGGTTTGGCTTTGTTTTAACTTTCAATAGCATGGAACTGATATGATCGAAGGAAATTTAGTAGTGCAAGACAATGAATTTGTTGTTGTAGCTGCACATATTTTGTGATGCAATACTGTAGTTTGCAATGATTTATTTTTAGGTAAATGGTATTTCACTTTATAGATACATCAAAACAAATGACAGGAGTTGATGATGATATGTGTATAATAAAATAATAATAAATTGATTATTTGCTAATATGAAACAGATATATATGATATTTTTTAGGTGAATGAAAGAAAATTTATTATTAAGTCGTCTTTGTATCATTTTTAATTCAGATAACACCAATAATAAAAATACAATTTTATTTAATTATGATTAGACACAATGTAGTGCAACAAAACCATGAACCATTGAGACTCTATCTATATAATATTCACAATTAGATTCGTCGGTACTCGAAATTTAAACTTTTTTAAGTTTTATTTACATTTGTAGACGATAAAGCCAACGAATTTTATTGTTCCTATAAATACTATATATAGATTGTAGAGAAATAATATTCTTAT